ACGATTCCGAACGTGATTAATAAAATTAATTTGTATGTATCCTGCACTAACCACATAACCCTATTGTCAGGCCGGTACGCAGGATTTAATAATGTTGGAGAGGGAGTGTTTTGAAAAAAAAAATGTATATAATAGATACATCAATAATTAGCAAATACTATTATAACATGTTTATATTTATTATTAATTTTGTAAGTACCTTTTTTTTAAAAGTTATGCATTATTACAAATAAGATTATAAAATACTACATAGGTATAGGCATTAGATCAAAAATGAATAACACGATTTTTAGGTACATACCTATCATAAATAATGGCTATCTACTGCCGTAATCCTATGTAGATTTACAGGAATAAACGTATTTGTTTTTATTTTATATTATTTTAAATAAACGCTTCAACACGCTGTTGTAAAATTAATTAATTACCTATGCAGTTTGTAGAAATTGTGTATATTTTACACCCCTATAGATACACTTTCGATTTTTTTTGTAACCAGTGTAAAACGATGAAGAGCCTTGTATTGAATTTTAAAGCTTTTTTACCAAAGAATATAAAATGTTATTTACATATTAGTATATTACTAAGGTGCATAAAAAAAAAATCATAGACCTTATATTTAAAATCGCCATTCATTTTCTTATCATTCAATTTTCAACTACCTACTGTGGTTAATATTTTTATCATTTAATGAACAAATGTGACATGATCTATTACCTATATCAAAATCAAAACAACTATTATTATAAATGTTAACGCCATATACAAGAGTATAAGAACTATAACTTAAAAATATTTATTATTAATTAGGTAACAGTTATAATATCTGAACAAATAATTAGTTTTTAGCATACGTGGGCTGGACCTTTGGTGAAAACTGTACAAATGTATTGTACGAAGGTATATGCGTTGCGCTCTCTGGTAATCTCACTCTAATATAATAATATGTTAATATCGTTGACCATCATCGTGATTCCTGGCATCACATTGAACGCTTTATATATTAGGTATAAAATAACAATAAGCATGTTAATACTACGGAAGTTTTTATTTTTTACGCGATACGTGATGAATTTTACTATAATTACTAATAAGTAATATCTATATGTATTTTTAATAGTTTAAACATAGTATAAAGATTAATTAGGTACTGCAGTAATATTACCTATATTATTTATATGCGTATAAAACACAAACAATCTTAGAACAATATGCCAATATATGTGATTAAATATTATATTTTTTTAGCGAGTTATAGAAGTGTTTTAATTTTAAAGACATTAAGTAAACAGTTTATACAAAATAGTACAAAAGTCAAAACATAAAAATCTCAAAATATGAGCAACTACAAATTGCAATATTAAATATAATTTTTGATTTTTAATTTTTAATTTTTGCGAATAGGTTTATTATTTTATTTATATCTATAGAAATGTGCCGTTAGATATGCATGGGAGCGAGACTAAAACGAGACGTAGAATGATATAATGTCTACAGTTTTCATATTAAAAAAAATGTTACACCCCTGAATATTTATTCAATTACCGTTTTGTGTGGTGTAGGTAGGTACCTACTCAACCAAAATTTAAGCCGACATAATGTTGAAAAGGATTTTTCTGTGATAAAATGACTCATGGCTACAAGTATTGAAACAATAAATTAGGTAGGTACTCTAAACGACCTACACGTTAATMGTTACCTAAACATAAAAACGCGGGTAAGTGGATGTCGCTCTGCTGTACAGTAGTTTACAAGTGTGCTACTATAATGGATGGTATTAAATATTTGAATTCAATGATATAATATTATTGTATACGAAAAATGRTTCTGAGTGGAGACGGTTTATCAGTCTAGGATAGTTCATAGTTTTATAATTTATTAATTATACCTATTGCTATTATTTCAAGTCGGTAGGTACCAATAAAATAAATTCCAAATTAATCAAATCAGATTCATTATGTAGGTAGGTACCTAACCTGACTCACTCAGTTATTCATATAGTATATACAATTAATTATAAAGTATTGATATAAGTTATTAATAAAATAATGACATTAACAATTACAATTAGAATAAAAAGTATAGGTACTCTAGAAATTTTAAGTACCCATGAATAATATTTTTAAATTACAAAAAAATAACTAAAATTGTTCAATATAGGTAGGTAATAATATGTAATTTTAATTTAAAATAGCTATAAAAAACTTGTTTTGTCGCAGAATTAATAGTACCTACTTACGTGGAACCTTGTTTTAAATTTTCAATCCTTAGCTATAAAAATATTAAAAATTAAACGTTTTAAACATTTTTAACAACTAAATAATTTGTAAATTTTCATTTAAATAAATCTTGTAAACATTTAAACTTTAAATGGTTATATAAAAAAAAAACAAGCATTGCATTTGTATTTTTAAAATTTTCCAACTGCTATTATATTAAGTTATGCCCGTTATGGGGAACCTCTTATATTAAATTTTCAAAGTTTTTTGATCAATGAACAGAATTTTATTGAAATTTATAGAATAAAAAAAAAACGGAAAATTTCAGATCCCTATATAAATAACTTAAAAATTATTGAAATATTTTGAAAATTTAATCATGTATAGAAACTGATAAAATAATAATATGGTGTAAATTTTAAATTTTTTTCAGTTTTTCGTTTTTGAATAACAACAAAATAAGAATAACGGTACAAGAGAAATTGAGTGAATATCCAATTTTGTGTCTAATTCAAATGCTCATAAAAATTTAATTTGACTTTCCGGTAGATTTTTTTATTTGATAAAAGTAGACGAACATATGAAGAACCTTGCATTGAATTTTTAAACCTTAGATCTAAAAAGATAGTTTTTTATGAATTTCTAACTTGAAATAAATTGCAAATTTTCGTGATTTTTGCGTATTTTGTCAAAATTTTAACTTTCAATACTTATTTAAAAAAATTGTGACCATATATTTTTAATATTTTTTAATTGTCATTGTAACAATATATTAGGAGCCTTGTATTAAAATATGTTGAAGCTTTTTTACCAAACAAATAAAATTTTACAAACATTTTCATTTCAAAGATGAGATTTAGGTATTGTAATATTACTATACTAACAAAATTAATTTAGGTAAGTAAAATTGAATCATATATCTTACGAAAAAAACATGATTTAAATGAATCCAAAATTGTACGAACGATGATGGTAACGTAGGCATGATTATAATATAAGTACTACCTTTATTAATATTATTAGGTATTTATTATCATTTATCATTAGTTGCAAAGGAGAGTGACTAGGTAGGTACTGTAGTCTACAACGAAAAGTAAGTCAGAAAAAAAAATAACATTTTACCTGACCAGAACATAAACCTAATATTATCTGGGTATGTTAAAAGATATATAAGTAAAATCCTTTCTGATACCAAATTATCATTCTAAATAAAAAGTTCCTGTTATAGATATAGGTAATTAAAACATCATATTATATATAATAATTAATATGAAATTAAAGTTTTGAAATGTATACAGTAGGTTCCTACCTAAAGGATATTGATCATTGTGTATGAATAATTCTTTCATAAAATAATTAAGAGTTAGGCACTTACCACAGATAGGTATAAATACAATTGTAACTACATCCGTGGTACTTACCTTTACAAATTCATAGTTTTGATGTAGGTATTTGGTGTTTTTGTCAATTTTGTCGCTGTTTTTGAAGCCATGTTTGTAACAAAATTATGTTAACTATTAGTTATTTGCAGGGTTCAGATATTTTGAACATTCCATATAAAACTTATAACTTCATTGATCCCTCTACGTCGTCTAAAGCGAAACTGGCCCAGGGACCTCCTCTATCATTAAAAAAATAAATAAATAAATAAAAATAAAAAAATATCAACAAAAGTCTAGATTGAAGTAGTGTCGTTTGGACACTCCCTTCCATCAAGCCGTCCAGTTTTGTATATTAATCAACCATATTACTTATTGTATTGTTTATACAGATTGTATATATTTTCTTTTAATAAAAAATAAAA